CACTGCCTGACTTCCTTATTAAAATGATCCCTCATCATGTTCTATAATGTTATGCCTTCTTTATTGTCTTCAGCGCACATCATAACTGAGTCTTCTGAACTTTCTTCTGAACTTAGTAAGTCTTTTTAATTTGTCAATCTTATTTACTTTTTCATTGTCAACGTCACAGGAAAAGAAAGTAAACAAGAATAAGGTACCTTGTATAACTCATTTCCCTCTATACCTTCAGAAACTAGATATAACCTGATACATGTTGTTGGAAAATGAAATCATTATTTTTAATACTCTTTCTTGGACTTCTATATTATATTTTCCCCTACTTCTAAACATATTTTTCATAATCTCTCTTTAAAAGGTAGATTTTTAACTTTTAAAATACTCTGATAAAAATGGCTACAAGGAAAGATATGTTGGCTAATTTTGTTATTTTTTAAATGTTGACCAAATAATACAAATGAATACCTAAATATTCCCTAAGGGATTATTTGTTAAAGTTGGGGGTAAAAAAATATTTTTTTTCTTTCTGAAAATCTTTGTATGCAATCTAGTATAATCAACATATATTAATTTATTATGCAGTCTTATTCTAAATTTACATGATTTTGTCTATTGACTTCAGAGATTATAAACTTAAAATATGGAAATGTAATCCTGGCAGAACAAAGTATTCTCCTTTGGTTAGATTTCTGTAGTATAATGGTTTAACTTAATTAGCTCATCCATATGTGCCTTCTATGTTATATTATAAAAACATTTTGCAAATTTGTTAAATAATTACTGAGAGCCCAGAAAAGTAACAACTCTGGCTTCTCTTTGTTATTTCTGTTATTGAAGCATGGTCACTGTGCCAGTAAGCATTGCATTTAGTGTATCATTGTAGCAAATATTTTTTCAGCAAATGTATATATTACATATTATAGTAAAAAAAAAGGTTGTAGAATTGACAGGCCCATCCTTCTATCTGATCTTTTATGCCTAAGACAGCAAAATGGAGTGTGTGTCTCATGCTTAACACTGATTTGAATTGGGTTGTACTAGTTCAGCACAAGAGCTGGTATCCCTTCCATTGGCTGGTTGTCCATTTGAATTGATTAGTACTCCTGTTGTTCATGTTATTAAATATTTTAAATAATTAAGTATCATTTACATTATGAAGTTATTTAACATTAATGGTTATATAACATTAAATTATTAAATATTTTATATAGCTCCCTGCTTATTGCTAATCCCTGTCTAATTGGTCTTGATTAGCTAGAATATTGTTTTGAGAAGGAGTTTGAAAAGAGGATGATTGATTGGTGATATCTGCCACAGGAGTGGGAGGAAACTTCATTGATTTTCAGGCTTCAGCACATTGTGGTTTCATGATAATATCCATTATGGAAAGCCCTTGAGTGAACTTGAAAAAGAATTACTGATAGAATTCTTACAATCTGAATTTTGAACTCCTCATAAGTACTAATAATCTAGTGCTTTTTAGAAAGAGTAAAGGTAAACATGGGAGAACATTTTGGTTTTACAAGTTTTAACAAACATAAGCACATTAATTTGAAAAGGATCTGAAAGCTAGGTTATATAAAATGGTAGTAAATTTCCAAAGTAAGCCTTGTATTTAGATATATAGTACTTATGATAATACTGTATTTTGTCAATGTGAAAACTGCTTGGGTTTACCATTTCTGACATTGAGTAGAAAATTACTGTTTTAGTCAAAGCAGCTTTTCATTCTGTGCATTAAGAATCTCAGAGACGAACTAGGAGGATTCAGAGTGATTGATTTGGATGAAAATGTCAAATCTGAAAAATTTCAAAGCATACATCATTTCATAAGCATGAATAATTTTTTCCACCTCGAGGTAGCAGAGCAACATGGCACTGGATTTTTCTCAGTGTGGAGCCCAGGCCACCCACAGGTGGATGGCTCCAGAAATACTTGTTTGACCTGCTTGCTTTCCATGATTTTTCTGTTTATACTGTTTAGCTGACTACAGGAAATAATGATTCTATTCATTTATCTTAGTTATTCTTTTCTGTTTCTTCTGTTTATGATAATTTCTCCACTGTGGTAATAGAATGTTACTTTTTAATATTTTGATGTTTAGTCCTGGCTAATTGTCAGGTTTATGTTTTCATTTAATCACATGTTGTATCACAGACAATAATTGAATTTTAGTATTTAATGTTTGTTTACAACATTCATCTTCTCAGCTGTTTCTATAATAGCCCACCTCTCTCTTTTGTCACCCCAATACTTTTTTAATCCAAGTGTAAAATATTTGCTTTTGTATTTCAGTTGTTGCAGTTGTTTCAAGTTCTTCGTTCTTAGGTCAAAAATTAACATATAGAAAAAATAAAAATTAATGTGTAGACTTTTGTATATTTCTTCCTAGTTTAAGAAAAAAACAGAACTTATTCCATTTCACTCTGCATCTCTCAGGGATGTTCTCTATGGAGAAACTGATACAAGGTGAATAGTTCAACAAGTACTTAGGGTTCTGCTCATTTGAGATTTCCCAAAAGGACTAGTCAGACGAGATTTAATCCTTGGTGTCTGGAAATAAATTAAACATAGTACCCCAACTGTTTGAGTGGATGATTGTCTAGTGTGAAAGAATATGCACCATAAGAAAAGATTCATCATAGCAGCAAGAATATGTGGTAAGAAATGGCTTGAGATTTTATCATATCATTGTATATTGATTTGTGTCTCAGAAAAATTTAGTGTGCTTTCTTACAGCTGTGATGTTTCAGTTTGCTTGAAGGTAAATAGGAAAAAGATTTTAGAAACGTACTGGTTCGGTTCATTATTTGAAGGCAGCAGATACATTTTTATTATCACCTGTCAAAACATCAGAACCCTGAGACTTCTGTAATTATTAATTTTTAATGCATAGCCTCAAAGTGCATAAGCCAAAATAAATTGATATAATGATGTCTGTATTAAGGAATGTTTTTGTCAAAGACAAAAACTTTTACATGTTAAAATGCTTTAATCTGTTGTCATGTACTATTTATAGAAGACAGGTTGAAGAGCTCCTTAATTAAAGTTGCCAATGTTGATGGAGCTATTGTTATTTTCCTATAATGTAAATGTCTTTTACAGAATTGACAGTTGTGTAACTGCTAAATCTTTCTCATATGCACACAAACAAAAGGCACAGTCTGACCTATACCTTCTCAAACCTGCATGATTTCTCCTCAAACTCTCATAAATATGAAAAATGCATTTATTAACATAACCAATTAATAACTGTTTTTAGATGGTATCAGTGAATCATAAATAATTAGTAGATAATTTAGAAATTTGAAATAAAAAATATGAATTCTCTCATTTTTTCAGTGTGATCATTAATATGTGATCATTTAATCAGGATTTTAAATAATAAATTAACAGTTATTTATATGGTAATGGTATCAGCAAACTAAAAAATTGTATTAAGGCACTGATTTAATCACATTTTAATAGGAACAAACTTATAATCAAGACCAATTTGATAAGTGTTGTCAACGATTAGGTTTTCTCGGCAAATCCTTTCAAAAGTACAACTTTGCTTTTCAGAGATACTGTTTAAACTATTAGCATTTCAATTAAAGACAAGCCAACAGTGTATGCTGGATACCAGGATGAGAATAGGTACATGTTGGATCTTTCACTGAGGAAATTTCCCTCTACTGGAAACTGAAAGTAGTAGACAAATCTGTGTATAAAGATACTGGTCTTGGGAGTGCTTTAAGACAGGCAGAAACAGGTCACTCTGGGGAAAAGTAGAGAAAATCACAGATAATGAGGCAACAGAAAGATACAGTTCATCAGGTCTTTTGAAATGGGCTTTAGTGTATCTAATAAAGTTTTTACAGATGCAGGTGAGTATAATGGCTAAGGAAATATTTCATGTCAGAAATATTTCATCTAGCAATTAGATTTACTGGTATCTAGATGGTAGTCAAATGTTCTAAAAACAGTTCTTTCTTCATATGAGTCTTCTATGGAAGCCCTCTGTGTTCGACTGACTAAAGGGCATCAGCTCCAAATGAGAAGGGTGGGGAGAGAGAAGCTTCATGCTTCATTGCCATTCTTTTTGACAATCCACCTGCCAACCCCTTATCAGCATCTCAGTGTATACATGCTGCAGTTTGAGACAACACATTTGTATCATAACATAATTATATCACTGGAAAGCATACTAATTATTTTAATAATAGAAATTACCAAAAGTAAATCTGAAAGGAATCATCTTGACTCATAGATTATGCATTTCAAAGAACCCTGAGTGAAGTTCTTTCCGAGGAGGAGGAAAGGGGTAACTACATATGAGGATTCCCATTAGGATCTCCATAAAGGCATGAAAATTTACATTAATAAATGGGGCCCTTTTGAAAATGAGAAATACTGATGTAGAATATAAAATAACTGCAGGGGGTAGTGGTAATGTGACAGAAATCATAGTTTGGAATCATAATCTAAAGTCCTTGAATGCCAGACTGTGTGGTTGCTTATGTAACTTACATCCTGCACAACCCAATAGGTTGTCTTTCAAAACTGGGTATGTCCACAATCTGAATAGCTATCTATGATGGATTTGTCTTGAATTTGGGTAACAACAGGGAGTCTATGAATTATTTTTAAGTCTAGGGGTGGTGTGATCGTGCTGAGCCTTAAGGAAATTAATCTTGCAATGTTTTGTAGAATGTTTCAAATTCCAGAAAACATCAATAGAATATACCAAACTTTGTGATCTTTTAGAGGAATAAACTTGATTTGTAACTTGTTAAGAAGAGAGAGGGAAAAGCCAAAATGACCCTAAGCTTTTTACTCAAGTGTTATACCTGACAGAAATAGAAAGGTCATGTTTGTCATGATTGGGATGGTGCAAGAGAGAGAATTAGTTCTCCTTTGAATATTTCAAATTACTATGAATAATTTTGTCATGCTAAGTGGACAATTTGCTGTAATTCTTCCTATAAGGTTTTATTTTTCTTTATATTTCCTCCTTTTTCAGGCTGAAATTATTGATGTGAGTTACGGAGATGCAGACGATTTGAAAAGGATTAAAAAAATGAAAAACATAACGAATCAGATTGCGCTCCTCAAATTAGGAAAATTACCACTACTTTATAAGGTTGGTCCAATGGGTGTTTTTCAGTGGTGAGGTGAATGGGATGTTTTTTTTAGAGTTGCATGCCTCTGTGAGTGGGGAGTGTGTGTGTGTGTGTGTGTGTGAGAGAGAGAGAGAGAGAGAGAGAGAGAGAGGCACAGAGAGGTAAAACATCACAGGAAGATGGCTTTTCTAAATAGAGCATTTTAAATTAAGATCTTTAAGAACAATAAATTGATGTCCTTATTACTTAAGACAAGAGATAAGTTATACCAGATATGGGTGAGTTTGTGGGACCTTTATGAAATGGGCATACTCTTCGTAATATACCCATGTGGAATTCTAAAAATGAGCACCAGGGTGCCCTCTTCTTATGACATGTGAAACTTCTATTATCTAAATTAATTACCATGTACTCTATGTTAGATTAGTATCTAGCTGATTTACACTCCTTAGTGATCGATTTTGTCAACTGTATAACTTCATAGTGACTGTGCTCAGGAATTTAATTAAAATATAATATCCTTAGAAGAAGCAGAATTTTTATTTATTTTATTTAAATAGAAGTTTATTAACAATCATCCAATAGATGCATTTACATAACTAAAGCTGCTCAATCTCTGTATGCCATGTAATGATTCACCACGATAGATGGCTACTATTGCTCATCCTCCATTTTTTTTTTCTATTAATACTATTTCTATCAAATAGTAATGTCACTGGAACTTTCTGGTTCTGAAGATACATTGGATTTCTCCTTACCTAACTCTAAGTAAGTTTTGCTAATTTCCAGATCCAAAAAGTTTCCATTAACCTGTTGGCACACTATAAGGAGACAAGAAAACACTGTTGCCTGCTTGTCAGTCTCTTCCATGGATGCACTTATACTTAAGTCAGCATCTGATAGTAGATAATTGGCCAGAATTTTAAGTTAGTCTTGAAAATATAATATAAAGTGATATTAATTTTTTGCAGTATAATTTTTCAATATGTATTACTTGTCTCAAATACTCACTTTTTGATCCAGTAATTCCAGTTCAATCAATATATTCTAAAAGGGAAGAAAATCTGAGCTGATAAACACAGGATGGGACAAAATATTGGATATGATACATGTGTCCAGTTTAGTATTGAAAATGATGCTGCATTTGTACAGCTGAATAATATACATTATTTATATGTGAAGAATATTTAATGATGTGAAAATCTCCATAAGCTATAAAGAGTACATTTATAATAATTATAATAATAATGATTATATCATTGTTTGGAATAAAGGTAAAATTTAGTATGTGTTTGATACATTTCTAAGCATTTTTTATGTGTTATCACATCATAAGAACTATATGTCTGAGGTAGGGATTATTAATATCTTCAATTTATAGATCAGGTAACTAAGGCAGAAAAAGAATAAGTGACCGGCTCAGGCTAACAGCTGGTTAAGTGGAACAGTCAGGATTTACACCCTGGCAGTCTCATCACAGATAGCGAATCTTCAATGTGTAAGTATGTGGCTGTGTTTGTGTATAGTTAGAGCAGATTGGTAGGTCCGTAGGTAGGTAGGTAGGTGGTAGACAGATAACTAAATGTTAAATTGGAGACTTTAAATGAGACCATAATATAACAAAGAGTGATGTTTCAAAATGAGCTACCGAATACCAACATTTCAAAAGAAATAATTGAAAACATGTTAGACTATTGTTAAATCCCTTACTCACATATGGAGTATAGAAAGTTTAGAGGATTGGAGGAGAAGATTTTATGAACAGGAATTTCAAAGAAATTTAAGTTCCACTGTAAGCCTGGTGATGGGAGCTTCAATAGAACCACAAAGAGGGCTTAAAGTATGTTCTTGGCGGTATGGAGAATATGGTCGACTGGTGGCTGACTCACCTGAGAAGCCAGAAGCTAAGAGATGGATTTGTTCAGTATCTAATAAATGAGCATAAAGGGAGTGTCTGTGTTGGGTGTGGCCAGTATTCCTAGAGCTGGGAGCAAAAAGTGCATGTAGGTTTCCCATGGTAACATTATTAGTAATACAGGCTAGATGTTTTTCTAAGCCTTTTTAAATGTATTAGCACATTCATCTTCGCATAACCATATTATTGGTTAATAATAAGCTATTATCATCTTTCATATGTAGCTAAGTATCATTAGTGCATGGGGAAAGGAAGAGGGCAAAGTGCAGTCCCTTACCTATAACAGCTGATCTGGTGGAGGGGCAAGAAGACGACATTGTAAATCAAGGGTAGACTTTTAATCATAAAATGAGACTAGGTGTTTTGATTACTGAATTAAAACAAGTGACCCAAACTGATGACCAGCAATCAGAAGAAATCTTCCTCTAGGGGCTTGGGTAATAATGTTCCTCTCTGGATTTGTTTCAAAACGGCAGTGGGAAACAAAGTAGCATTGCTTTGGGTGTATTATATGAGTCCTGCTTGTTCAAACTACCAGTGATACATATGACTAAAATACTGTCTGTGGTATGGGCCAGTTATATAAATTGGGTTGGTGGGTTTATGGATGATTTCTGTTTCTTTATGATTTCCTGACTTCCTAAATGTTTTACAGTGATGGTGTATATATTTTGTAAGAAAAAAAGCCTTTAAAAATTTAAGTTAAGATATTTAAAAATTTTTCTAACAGTGCTTAAGCCAAATACTCAAAATCTGTACCAGCAGATAATGAGTTAAATCGAAGCAAGTTTCTTTGTATTTTATTGTCCCAGAGAATATTTACTTTATGAAACCCTTTGGCCATATCTACAAAGTAGTGAATTAGTGGTGTACCTAGCATAGGACACAATTTTTAAGAACTTGGTATGTATTCCCTAATCATTTTCCCTGTGGATCTATGAGTAATTTTATCAAAGACGGCTGCACACAATTCCCCTTCAGACAGTGGTGCCACAAACCTGGCAGAAGTTATTTTCTAAACAGAAGAGACAGGGTATCTTTTCTTTAACCTTCTAAGTTCCATTCTAGCCATTTCTGTTCTCCATGACTCATCCCAAAGATTTGGGATAGAATCTCTGTTAATACACATTCACCTGGTAAATAAAAAGGAAGCATGGGTTAGACAATATTACACAGGATGATTACAGTTGAGTTTGCGTCACCTGTCCATTTGGGAAAGTAAGGTAAAGCAGTGATACAGCTAGGATGAAAAAGGCAGAGGACCAACTGACTTCCATGTGAATCACAACTGTTAATCATGATTCTAAATGAGCATCTGGACTGGGAACATGCAGCAGAATGAGTAAAGAGAAAAGTTAATCTTATTTTAGCTGTGCAGTAGTTACTAAATCATAATTCAAAAATGAATTTGTGAGGGATTCCTTCATCTGAAATAAGGAGGGCAAAGGGAGGGCATTATTGTGATATTAAATTGTCTCCTAAAATGAGTTGAAAAATATGCTACAGCTGAGAAGGAGGAGATCTCATTAGTTTCACCATAAATACTATGTATGTGTTAATTTAGTCTCCAGTAAAGGATTGATGAGAAAATCTCCACGTTGTAGAGAAGGAACTGTGAAAGGCAAATTGCTTTTAAATATGTCTTGACATCCACATTCTGTTGCTACAGGGAAGTGCCAACCAAGTTTTCCAGAAGAGGCTTGTGCTGGGTTCCCCTAAGCTTAAGCTCTAGAGGAAGGCTTTAGGTATATTTTAGCTTTGTATTTATAGTTGTTTATTTTATGGGCGAGTGCTTTAATTCTTGAAGCTTCAAGACAAAATATTATTTTATATGTCCTTGATGGATTCATGTAGATCTCTTTCAGTGACAATCTCAGACATAGTAGAGCAGATCCTAAGATCCTCACAAAGTCCCAAATTGCTGAATAGCACTCTGGTATAAAGTTTATTTTATAAATGCAATAAAAGTATTTGGCTTTCTTTTTAGAGCCATTTTCACAAAAAGTCAATAAAACAATTTCTGTGTACTCGTGGCAGCTAGGTCAAGTCAATTCCACTGAAACACTGAGTTTGGGCCTTTTATCTAGGTCCATACCGCATATCAACCACATGTCTTGTAGGAGTCAAATTTGTATGTAGCAAAATTACAAATAAATTCATATCTTATGACTTTTGTGCCTGGTGAAATGACACATAAAAATCCACAAATGCAATTGGTCTTCTTTTTTTTTCGTAACTGAAATAATACAGCACCTTCCTAATACCCATGTTATATATTAAGGTTTCCTAGTACCCAATGTTATATATTAAGGTATCAGTGAATATTAGCTGGCTTTCGCATTTTTCTTATATACATTTTTACCCTAATATTCACAATTTTAATGATCAAGGAAGCTGAATGACTTTGTACTTTCCTAAAGATAGTTTTTTAAAAAAAATTTATTAATGTTGATACAGTTAGTCCTTTTGAAGAACATGAAGGGAAATGAGAGGCAGAAAATAACTAGGTATTCATCTTTTTGAGTAGATTATTTTCCCCTATAGACAATGAAGTAGTATTATTTAGTGAAAAGTAAATTTCGTATTATTTGAACTTCAAACCCAACTTAATTCACAAAATAACTAAACTCAAAATTTTGAATTGATGATTTGGTGAGGAAATACCTATAAATATTGCAGATTTACCACTAAGTAGTCAACAAATGGATAATTGGAAGATCAGTAAGAAATACTATATGGAATGTAAAGCTGAGGAGCAGTGTATTTTGAAAACTAATGTCACACTTCGCATTTGCATGCTTTTCAGATTTGCTCAGCTATCCTTTATTTCATGTATGCCCGTCTCCTTTTTCATTTTCTGATAACAGCTACTCAGTTCCTATAACTGCACTCAAAATAATTATTTTTCTTTATTCTAGTTAATAGAGAGAGGATTTACTCTACTTCATGTGGTAGAAGCTTAAGATGGTTGAACTAAAATTTATTATATCCTAAAATTAAAATATGCATTTGATTAATAATTAGCATGTAGTAGTATAATCGAACAATGTGTATAAAAAGGAATTCAATATATTTTGAAGATGAAATATTCATGGTGTGCTTTGT